AATGAAACCAGTTCAATATGCATTATTCTTATTCTTATCATTCTTTATGAGCGCTGAAATAGTCTTAAAATCAGATCTGTTTTTTTAAATGTAAATCTGACGGCAGGCAGTTAGCTCTGATCACCTATGATAAATGCGCCACACCTAATCTCGGCCATTCAGCCACAGAGGTCCCTCTATACAAATCAAACTGTAGACGGTGTGAAAGCACCTATTGTTTTAAATAATGGTCGGAATGTGACCTGTTAGCCTTCTGAATTACCGTGGGACAGCACATTCTAAACTAAAATGTTCAATCAATAAAGTAACATCTTATCTTATCTTATCTTAATAATATCTTCATATTAATAATAATAATAAATCATACAGTATGTGTCCGAAAGGGAGCAGGAGGAAGCAAACACAAAAATATACAAAAAATATACTGCATATTAAAGCAAACGATTGTAAAGGTAAAAGTATGAGCATAACAAATAAAGAAGTGTAATGTAAACATTTACATTATAATTATGATTATTTAATATATAAAGACTATATATTATTGAATTACAAGATTAGATATACTTTAGTTGATCTAAAATATTGATGTGTTCAAATGCTCTTCAAAACACAACTGAAAGTCCATGAAACTTGTCTTTCTGTATTTGTGAATGAAGCGCCATCTCCTGGTTAAAACCTGAAATTGAAATCTGGCAACGCCCTCTTGGAAAATAGTGGGAGGGCTTAACATTCCTCTATTCTGGTTTTAGGCAGGTCGTAGGCAGGAAGCTGTAAGCTGGAGTCTGAAATTCAGTGCTACATCTGTAAATACAGTGAATTAGAATAACAACATAAGAAGAACGATTATTAATTGGCTCCCTAGTTACTGTGAGACTTGCCATAGCAACCATGAAAGCACAGCAATAACACTACAGTATTATTTCCGCAAGTCCTGGATCATCTCAATCCATCCCTGCACACTTAAATACTGTACACACTAATAAATATGTTTAATATTTTCATATGTAGCCATACAGCACATCACTTAATAATTGAAAATCCTTTATTATGATCTATTTCTTTCTCATTCTTAAGATATAGTCAGATAATGATAGCTTTTTATGATGTCAGCTGCTCACCTCTCTTCCCATTTTCTGCACAGGGACTCCAGTTACCAAAGCCACCAGCACCCCCTGCTGTGGAAGCAGAGTATTACACCATAGCAGATTTCCAGTCCTCCATCTCTGATGGCATCAGTTTCCGTGGAGGACAAAAGGCTGATGTAAGATCCACACTGCCGTCATTGAGATTAGACAGCCAGGGCTCACTGAATATGTGTGTCAACTGTATACTCCCAAGATACAGAGAAGCAAAGGAGATGCAACCTTGAGATTTGTTTTTTTAACTTCATGATGGAGTCAGAATTTGCTCTGCGCGGAATTTAGGATAGAGATGAAGATAACATAGATTCCTATATGTTTTTTTTTCCGATTATGTTGTGCTGCAAATTCTACAAAGTGTTAAAGTGGCCCTTTTATGGTAATTGTATTTGTATTTGTCTCTATGCTTTCATGTTCAGAAAGCTCTTTATTTTTCTCATAATGCCTGTTTTGCAGCTCCTCTTTTCACCCTCTGTCTGAAACCAGTCACGACGTCTGTCGCACCCTATTTGTAGCCAATAGAAGCGCGAGTACATAGTGATGTCATTATGTTACGGAGGAAAAACAAAGTAGTCCAATTGAGACATTAGAGGCAGGGGGGCTGGGGGGGGGAGAATCCCTCTGGAGGAAACTCTGGGATGTTAGTCTTTGCAGAGCATTTACATGCACAAAACATTATAACACACACTAAAGGAAAGGGGTAAGCCCAAAAAGCATAAATGGGCCTCATAAAAAACATGAAACACTTCTGACAGATTCCATTACTTTAATTGACATAGCTTTTATCTTCCATTTATTGCTGTGTAGGTGATAGAGAAGAACCCCGGGGGCTGGTGGTATGTGCAGATCGGAGAGAAAGAGGGCTGGGCCCCCTGCTCCTACATTGACAAGCGCAAGAAGCCCAACCTCAGTCGTCGGACCAGCACCCTGACCCGGCCCAAAGTCCCACCCCCAGCTCCGCCTGTCAAGAAGCTAGAACCGGAGGAGGCACCCCCTCCTGCTAGCTCTGCTGCAAAAGTCTCAGAGCCGGTGAGCAGGCCCGTGTATGAGGAGCCTGAATATGATATTCCTGCAGTCGGATGTGAAGGTGAATCGGACACCGATTCCCTTAAGGATGAACGTGCCCTGGATGTGAAGATCAGCAGCGTGGTGAGCGACAAGTACCGCAGCTCCCCTCCTTCCTGCAAGGCCTCCCCTCCAGTCTGCAAGGCGTCCCCTGTGTTCACTCGTCGGAGAACTTCCTTCAGGTCTGTGGAGGAGGTCTCCAAAGAGGAGTGTATCTATGAGAATGACTTCAGGCCAAGCAGTGGTGCTGAGAGGTCTTCAGTCAAAGGTTCCAGTGAGCCGAGTTCCCCAAGGAGCTATCGTTCCTCCACAGTCCCTCGCAAACTCTCCGGATCCTCGCCTTTAGCAGGTAGACCCATGAAGACTATGACGCCAGAGATGACACGGAGAAGCCAGACCCTGGGCAGACACATAGATATATGCCTGAGCTCTCAGGACAACAGCCCCCACTCTTCATCAGATGAATTGACCAGAGGTTCCAAGAAAGGTGCTCCATTTAGCCGGGATGTGGAGCAGAGAATAGGTCAGAGCCCCTCCACCCGGCCTAAGCCTTCTGTCAGACCTAAACCTCTCCTGACCAAATCTGAGCCCCAGAGTCCTGAGAGGATGGACATCAGCTCACTGAGGCGGCAGCTGAGGCCTACCAGTCAGTATCGGCCTCATGGCCTCAAACCTACTCGCGATGAATCTGAAACAGGCTCTGTCATATCATCCGAGGACTCCATGTGTTCGCGCAGCACCTCAGATCTCTCTTCAGTATACTCCAAAGGGAGCCGCGGTGACTCGGACGTGGAAGGCCCCACTCTCTACCGCTCCCTGGATGTCTATAAGAAGGTCCAGGACTCTGAGATCAGCTTTCCAGCCGGGGTGGAGGTTGAGGTTCTGGAGAAGCAGGAGAGCGGTTGGTGGTACATCCGTTGGGTATCCGAAGAGGGTTGGGCTCCCTCATACTACCTGGAGCCTGTCAGACAAGTGGGTGATGTGGGTGGGTTCGAACTAGAAGGACACAGGAGTGGCAGGAGTAAGTCCAACAGCCTGGAGAAGAACGAGCAGCACGTTCTGGCCCTCAACAACATCAACATTCAGGGTCTGAGCCAGCATCAGCAGCATCAAGGCTTGAGAAGGAACACTCCGCCAATCCCCTCCAAGCCTCCCGGCGGCTTCTCGAAGCCTTCAGCCGTAGTTAATGGTGGCGTTCGGATGAGGAACGGGGTACGCCAGGTGGTAGTGAGGCCTCAGTCTGTATTTGTGACCACATCACAGCCATCAAAGGATGGACACTACATGACGGGTTCTCTGAGGCGAAACGACACGCTCCACAGAAGCGATCACTACGGTTCCGGTTCCGCCACCCTTGGCGTCCGGCGAAATGCCTCGTTCAGCACCGTGCGGCCACATGTCGTTGTGGAAAGTCAGACGAGGCCCGCAGAGCGCTCCAGCCTGGGATCCTCGGGTAACGCGTTCAGCACAAGTAACGTCAACCAACGCAACGGCATCCCTGTGTCCACCGTGCGACCCAAGCCCATCGAGAAGAGCCAGCTTATCCACAACAACCTGGGCAGGGATGTGTACGTGTCCATCGCCGACTACCGGGGCGATGAGGAGACAATGGGCTTCACGGAGGGCACCTGTCTGGAGGTGCTGGAAAGAAACCCCAATGGATGGTGGTACTGCCAGGTTCAGGACAGCCTGCTTCCACGCAAGGGTTGGGTCCCGTCCAACTATCTAGAGCGAAAAAAATAAACCCCACATCCGTCCCCTACCCTTTCCTCTATCTTTCCCCTTTTTGATGACTCCAAGGACGTTGGTGGCTCCTTAAGAATGTTACCCGCAATCACCCGTAAGCAATATGTCCTTGAACAATGTACATTTATGACAGCTTGTAAAAAAGGAAAGACACTTTTAGTGCTGGTTTACTAAAATGTATACGAAAAGGAGTGTAAAGATTTAAAATATTTTGGCTAAGAGACAGGATGTCGGTTTGGTCCTCCTCGAGTGAGGAAATCTGAAGAGGTAATGTCTTTGAGATATAAAATGGTATGAATGGGAGTGATAACCTCTTAAAGAGGTTTGCATCATGTAATACAGAAGTTGAGCAGGGTAACGGTTATGCTTATTCCTGCCCATCACTGACTCTGATGGCCGATAAGTGCCTTTTGTTGATCACCTGAATGGAGGTCCTAAATGGTGGATTACGAAAAACAATAAATCAACCAAATCTTTTAAGAGTGCCATAGGCCTACGAACACCACCAAGACAATTTGCATAACCAGTTAAGAGCTCCACTATAGAGTGCAAACAAAGTGCAAGATTTCCATCTAGAGTGCTCTGATTGGTCCAACACAGATTAAAGAAAGTAACTGAGGTTTAGACTCAGTCAGCAGAGAATTATATTTGTTTTAAGCCACAAGCAAACTGAAACCTTTTAATCTCATTATAAGTATTCTTTAAATCATTGTATGTTATAATGTCTCATGTTGATGCAGTCTTTCGTAGGGAATTATTTCTGCTTTCTTGTGACATCTGTTTACCACCGACAGCCTTGAATTGGAAGTTAAACTCCTGGAACACATGCAGGAGATGCTCAGGTTTCAATAATTGGCAAAGTTTGGTAGTAGATTCTTAAACCCCAGAAAAACATGTTAATATGTATGTTTTTAATCCCAGCTGTAACTGGGATAACAGCTCTGTAAAACCTGTTAAACTTGAAAATAACAGACGCGTTATACTTTTCTGGAAAATTGTAATTTGCTCTCCAGAAGAAACCCACCTCATACTGTATCTGGGTAGCAAATAACTTTAAACAATTAGTTTGCATAGTTTTGGTTTACTGTAGTGCTTTTGGCTCCAGGAACATTTGATTGTAAATATTTAGTTGTTTCTATACATGTAATAATACGCTGTTGCGGGATGTATTGAGTACTGGAAATGTGGTGAAATAATTGAATCCCAGGGACATATTTTCTAAGCATTTATCCCAAATGTGATCAAACCAAAGAGATTGCATTGGCTATTTTTGTGATTTTTTAAATGATATATGGTAAAAGTAATATAGTGTAGTGTACCTAGGCCTAGTGTATTCAACAAAACACCTTAAACAATTTTTTGAAAAATCAATACCTGGAAGCACTTGATACCATTTTTAAACTAGAAGTAAGTTTTGATATTAAAAAAAACAACATAGTGTGTAGAGTTGTTTCCAATTGTTTTTTGGTTACTTACCATATGTTAAAAGATAATGTACAGAAGTTAGAGATAATTCTACTCACAAACAGAACTGAAACATTTGAATTGAACCTTCTGAGCTCAAATCCAACTTTAAATTCAAACGGCTGATGTTCAAGACTGCTGAAATACATTTTCTATTGAGCGGTGTGAGCTCTCGGTATGAGGCAGCACTAGCTTTTCATTATGTTTCTGCTGGACAGTATCACAATATTAAACCAAGTGCAGTACCTGCTAGATCGCAGTTATCTATTTTAGCGAAACCATATTTGTTTTTGTTTGTTACTCTGTGATCACACAGTGACAATAATGAGGAACGAAGTGGTTCTGTTTTGTGAATTAGTGCACTTTAAATCTGTTGTTTTATGGTGCATTAATGTGAAGATGCAGTCAATACTCAGCATAGTATTTATTGAATACAATAAATTATGTATCTATTCTTCTGTCATCACCTCAAATGAGACAGTAACCTGCAGAGTTTGAGTATAATTGGATAAATAGAGACCTCTAGTGGGGGGTCAGTGGTACTAAACATGATTTTACCCAGCCTTCCTACCTCAGTGCAATACGAAATGCACTGCTGGCCAGTGAATCTGTACGCATTGTTTTTACTGAATTTGAAATCTCGGTGCAGCTAAAATAATTTGTAACACATTTCTTTGTATTGGGCAATCATTTATTTTTTTGAAAATTAAAAACAGATTTTTTATCTATGCTGTATGCTGCAATTTTAGCAAAAAAAGGGCACTTCCTTCATCTTTATTGTGCTTTACATAATGCCTGATTTATACATATTTATTATGAATAGTTTTATATCTAATTTTGGTTTGACAATCACCTTATTCCCCCACTCAAAATATTACTGTATAGCTTATACAGATCATTCTTTTTAAAGAAATTGGACTTCACTCACATTGATATGCAAAATATCATCATTTAATTGACTATGTGAAGCAATTGCATTTGTTGAAGTATATGAAAAAATGTAAGGATACATAATACAATTCAGAACTAATCAGTTGATTCGCTGTATGCAGTTCCCTTCCCTACAAGACGAAGGCATTATGTAAATGTGTTAAATCGCTTTGTACAATTCGCTCCTGCACTATTATTATTGCATATTGCTTTTATTGATTGAGCTGAATTTACTTGGCTAAAATAGCAATGAATCGTTTTGTGTCGAGCATACATTTAGCTGTGTAGCGTCTTTATTCATGCTTTTTATTTTCTTGTCCTTTTTACCCTATTTGTCAAATTCTGAAATGTACCGCGAGGAAGTGTGCAATAGATAAGAAACATCATCATGCTTCAACAAGAGGATGAGAATTACAGGTGTAGAAAGAAAACCGTCAACAATGCCATTTAATCTGCTGGGAGTAGATGCTCCCCGTCAAACTGCCAGTCATGAGCTTTTACCGTCATTCAAGTGTATCGTTTCAAGAGGACATCAAGGAGCAGATGTGTTAGCGTTGGAAAAGTAATCGGACCAAAGCCGTCGTAGGTGACATCTCATTATCTCCTGACGGGACGGACTTTTATAATAACTCGCATGAGAATCTCTGGACAGTGATTGTGAATGGCATGGCAGAAACCCACTGACCCGTTCTGTACTGACTTTACAGCTATCTTGGGTCTTTCTCCACGGATGGAGAGTCAGGGGCCCATCATCAGGGGTCTCAGCGGCCTGTCACGTTCGTGCCTGAATGGAATTTTGATAGCTTCTTCTTTTTGTGTTGTTGTTTTCTCCTTTTTTGTTTGTTCTCTGGAGTGTGTCCTCTCAGCACCTACGCAGAAGCCTCTCTTGACATTTAGCCCACCATTGTCAAACCAAGTCAGATTTTCTTCCTCACCAATCACCACAACGGAAGGTGACATTTGGAACCGTCTCTGCGGTAAACAAGAGAGCAGGGAGATGAATGCTCCTTCAGGCCATTTCAGTTCAATCCATCAGCTTCCAGGATTGTACCCCAAAAATAGAAAAAGCTTTATTTTTCTCTGTGCTCAGCCCCAGGCAGGCCTTATCCATGCGCTACAGGTAAACGCGTCATTGTGCTAAAGACTTACTGCGTGTACAGGCCAATACACATTGTTCCCTCTACTGTTAGGGGGGCTTGTGTCCACAAATGCTTTTGTCCGGCTGGTTGTCTCCACCTTAAAGGATATACCCTGATCGCTTTCTTGCTGAGAGTTATATGAGAAGAAAAGGCCTACTCTCGTTGTTAAAACATAAGCCCCCTCAACTCCAACAAATATGTAGCTCTTTGTTAACCCACTTGTGTGTTTGAGCTTCACTTCGCAAAACGTTATAAGTGAGTTTTCTACTTTAATTACTAGGGGAGTGCTTTTCTAAACTTAGTTAAATTAGGGTTAAAGGTGTGTATGCGCCAATCGGCTCCAGCGTGGAATGTTTAGCTCCTCCCATACATTTTGTATGTGGAAAATTAAAGCCTCCCATTCATATAAACTGAGAATTACATAAGAGTTTAGTGAATAATAAGCATTGTGTTATGCTCCAACTATATATATGCATATATTCTGGAATTTCAATGCACCAGAAAAAGTAGATGCAATTAGAGGACATTTTTAACAAGGTAATTAAAGTGTTTTGTTAAATCAGACAATCACTCAAACAATGTATTTTTTAAACGTCTTAAACCAGGTCTGTAGAAAATATTGGATTATGAAGTTAAGACACTACACGGTTATCTTAGCTTAGCATACTTAGAGTAGTGGGAAACAACTAGCCCTGAGAATGAAATAAAACGTAATACTTAATACCTAAGACATCAAACACCAATATTTTGATTTTACACTTAGTTGACAAAACAAAATGCCATAAATCACTGCACCTGGCCAAGAGATAATCCCGGCTGCAACCACACATTTTCTCTGCCTAATCTTTGGTTTCTGTAGCCATCAAATCAATGGCATAAACCCAGATAATATAATTATTGAGCTTTAGGGAACGGTAGGTGGGATTTTTCCTCCTTTAGATAGAACTTTGCTAGCTAAGTTTACCCATCCTTCTAATTGTTTTGCTAAGCTAATTATGTCTTGCCTTTAGCTTTTTATTTAGCGTCAAGACATGAGAGTTGTCTCAATCATCTTATCAAACTCTTCTCAAAAAAGCAAATACGTTTATTAACCGAAACGACTAAGTGTTCTTTTAGGTTACAGGCTTCTTTTTCATACCAGCTCAGCCTCGTTCAGCTACAACATGCACTCTCAAACCTCAGTGCACCCCCACGGCAGAATGGAAATGGGATTGGCAGTGGTAATATTTCTGCGTCCCGCATGCCAACACACTATGATGATGAAAAACCAGTTTATTGATCAATCCCCGGAGGTTCACTGCACCGGCACTCTGGTTTTGTTCCTTGCTCTCTTTTTATTTTAACAAATGGATGGCACCTCAGGCGTGAAACACCTTAAACCCTGTAACCCCAAACACAAGCTGCGTATTCCTCCTGTCTCACCTTCCGCTTTCTTTCTTCCCTCGACACTTATTTCCATATCCGTCCTTCCTCGACACAGCTGAGCGATCCCGGTGGAAGCATTGAGAAATCGAGAAGGGTTCGAGTGGGGTGTGTGTGTTTTTGCATGATGAGATGGATAGTTTGCAGGTGCACTTAGAAGAAGGGAACTTGGAGGTCAAGGAAGAAGTTTGTGAGAGCAGGACGCAGGGAGAAGGATTGGAAAGTGGATTCAAGGAGACAAGATGAGAGAAGCTCTGCTTTAAGGAGAAGGCTAATGGGTAATGTTTCCGCTCTGAAAACTATGAAAAATAGTTCCTTCTGACAGGGAACCCATTTCATCCAACTCCTTCTACCCTCCTTCAACAAAACGCAACGTAATAAGCTCTCAGCTTCCCCACCTTAGCAGTGATCTCATTGCTCCAAACGATGTTGTAATTGCAGCACTTGAAGTTCTCGAAGCTGCTTTTGCGAGAAACTGCAAGTCAGCAAGAGACGGGCGAGTTCTCAGCTCTGAAGCTCCTCTCAGTCTCACTCTCAATCCACAGAATAACTTTAAAAAGTGATACCACGTCTTATCGTAGCTCCTTTTTGCTGTCAGAGTGCTCAGATCTTATGTAGCCCTGAGGGGGTGAGAGTCAAGCTCAGTGTTGGAAGAAAGTGTTTTGGAATACGACGGTAAAAAAAGGCTTCAAATGGTGGATTCTTATTTGTTTTGCCTTGTGTTTTTGTTGAGAAAAGAATGTAATGTTGCGGAAGTGTATCACAGGATTGGAAGTGTTTGTTCACATCTAATGAAGCTTGAATTAAAAATCAAAATAAATCAAGAAAGGGCTTTGAAAGTCACCCAGCTCTGGAATAGAGCGATGGAGTTATAAAGGTTGACAGAAGGAGGGGTAGGTTTGATTAGAAAGTTTTAGCAAGTGTGTTTGAGGTATTTAGGAAGATGATTATGTATTTTTTTTTATTAATTGGTTGCTTTTGTTTGAGTTAGTGTGAGGGAAGAAAGGAAAAGAATGAGTAAAGCTGCAGGGTTTGGGGTAAAAAAATGAAAAATCCCAGGCACTTACATCAGAGTATGCTGATTATTTATGTCATTCTGAAAACTTCCGCACAGAATGCAGTTGTTTGAGGAGCCGGCGGGCATCAGCGCGGAAGCCCTTCTCGGGTGGGGGGGCGGGGGGAGGAGCGCAGCTGTGTCTCTGTAACTATTTTCTTTGTCTCGGTTTGAATCCATGATTCTAATTAGCACAACAGTGTGTCTTAATTAACCTTCCCCAGTCAGACGATACTCCAACGCTAACAGCTTCCTCCTAATCGCCAACACCGCTGCGGCGGCTGCCATCCTGCGCGGGGGCCTCAGCCATATTTTAGCGTTGGAGCTGAGCTGTCACCAGTGATTGATGTGGAGTTAAAGCTGAGGTCGATTTATGAGAAAGTGGAGACTGTTTTTAGCCTGGATGTTGAATTTATAGAATATAGTCTGTCACCACCCCGCTGTGGAGAGCAGTGTGCCAAACAACAACAAAACCTTGGAAGCCCGACGCCATCACGCTCTTGATCTGTACACTGACAAAACGATCCGTTACCAGCATGTCAAACACAACAAGAACTGCAGGCCTCGAGTTGGACCAAAGGAGGTGCTATTCTTTCATTTCTGTTTTCTTTATTTTTGTATTGCCATTGTTGTTATGCAAATTGTGTTTAACTCTTGCAAGCTCCTTGTTTTCAAAAGGTATGCCATGAGGAGCTTTATGCCACTGTTAAAGTGAATGTATCCTCCAATGAAGAGTCGTCTGTCCTCATGGTGACAAGGCCTCATGGATCTGTTGAAAGCATCGTTACACTAGGACAAAAAACAATGACATCTAAAAGACTGTCACAATTTCCTTTCTGATTGGAGACATTTTGCACGTGTGCATTCCTTTTGAAAACAGGACATTTTCTTACCCCTTCATTTTGACAAGTCTTGTTCCTTTTTTTTGTATCTTGTAATGTACATGTTTACATTGTATCTCGCATTGCCCAAAAGAGAAACAATATTAAATGTATTATCTTTGTTGTTTTAGACCGGGTCCTTTTCGTTTATCTCACACTTCCAGTCACATATGTTACTTACTGCAGGTAGAGAGCCGAAAACCCCATTTCGCTGCCATAGCTAGATATTATGTGACAGTAATGTTACAGATTGAGACATTTATCTTTATTCTCCTTATTGTTCTTGGCAGATTAAATAAGTTTAGATGTGGGAGGAGCAGAACAATGCAGCTGGTTATATATAGAAAGGTATGAGTTATGAGAGGAAAGTGAGAGCGGGTTCAGTGGACGAATGAAGACGAACGAGCTCTCGGAGACCCAGTTTCCTTCTAAAGAGGAGAGACAAGAATTGTTGCTCCCCTGTTTACAAACGTGTGTGGAGAGATTTATCCTTTCTGTCGAAAGTTAGAAGAAATTCAGCACACGCTCAGACCTGCATCCCAAAGAATCACCACAGACATTCACCTCTTAAAGCACGAAGCTACAGGTTTCAGGAGGTTCATTCATAAAGTTTAGCATTTAAAGCATTAGCAACGGGTTAACATTGCTATATTATGACTATATAAGATGTTATGGATATAGGCTCACATACAGTACGTAAGTTAGCATACGGTTGACAGTTGTTTGTCTATCACGAGAAATTGAAGTCCAATATTTACTGTACTTAGCAAGTCAGTTTAGCACTAGTTTTAGTTTTAGTATCCACTAGGGGTGTATCGGTATTCGTCCCGAACCGTCACGGTTCGGCACATGCAGTCACACGACGAATACGCCTTTTTTTTATGAAGGGAAAAAAGTCTGTCACTCAGGGCAGTATCCATACACTATAATCCAGGAGGTGGTATTCCGCCTAAAAGCTGTTTGCCTGCCGCCCTTTAACAACAAGAACAAGAAGAAAAAACAACAAAACGAACAAAATACAAGAAGAGAAGTTAGTATGGCGATTTCAGATTGTCACTAGAGGTTTCTCAATACTCAAATTTCCCCTCCTCCTTTCCTCCGGTAGTGACCCAGGAATGAATTTCAGCACGCCATTTTGAAAGACATCTCATTTCTCTAAATGCACATCGAGGACCGAGGATCGAGCGTCGAGGAGGCTCTCTGGAGGAGCTATAACCGAGGATAAACTGATGGGTCCTCCACGGTCCTTTGCGTCTCCTTCGCGGATGCATTTCCGGGAACGTTGGGTATAAAATAGGCGTGACACACCGCTGGAATCATTTCAAAACCATGGCGGGAGCAATGCACAAATGTAAGTGTTGATAATGATATGTTGCATTAGTTATTTAAGAAGTGAAATGCGCAATCCAACTCCGCCCGTCTGTATGCAGTTAGAGCCCTCTAACCGCATTCCTTATTGACATTTCACCTGATATTCTTTATGTTTTTATCCACATTTTAACTACACCCAATCCTGCTACAGCATGCCATGATGTTTAAAAGTGCAAACGTTAATTTTTTTACGAATCAACCAGAACTTTGTTTAGCATTCAGCACCAGTATTTGGTTTGGGCTATGTTGTACAATAGAATCCATCACTCATTACAGTCTGTAAATCTTCCAACAGTTTTAAGCTACACCTTTTACTTTGTCTTTTCACAGGGACTTTCATCAAAGTGAGGGTCGAGAACGATAACCTTTTTACTGGCCGAAGGCACACTGCCAAGAAAGCCTGGGAGTGAGTGACATTTTCCTGGATTGGGAACATAATAGATCCGTATTTTACGGCCATGCATGAGGCCATCGGTGGGAGGCCATCCATCGACCCCTCTTCTACTCTTAGGGAGAGAGACCCGCGGCCAGTATAATTTCCTGCAGGAATTAATACTGAACCGTGTCGAACGTAGTCGACACTACACGAACAATCTCGCGACATAAAACATTAGAGACCAAATTGTGGACTTGTAAAACAAATTCGACGGACACATCGGATGAAGGGTGTTAGAGTCGGTAATGACGTTGCTACTGACTACCTCCTCTCCCGTCCTCGTCTCCTCTCTCCCCGTCTCGTCGTCGGTGTTCTCCTACGCATACAGAGGTGAGCAGGAAGTCTGCTCCACCTGTCCGGCTCTCTGCTGACCGTCTGGTTTAGAGCCGAGGACTGGTGTTGGCGCAGGTCGCGACTGGCTGCTGGCTGCTAATAACAACTCCTCCTAAAAATAAATACCGGTCAAAAAAACCAATGGGCCAAACAAACAGAAGTGCCCTACGTTTTTACGGTAAATGAGCCGGTCTACGTAATGAGTCAAGAAAACAAGCAGGTGAAATATACGGAAAAAGGATTAAAGTGGACCGAGCGTTCAACAATAAATCTCGTTTTCCTGAAATGTCTGGGTCATAGAAATAATGTTCTAACATACCACTTTATCCGGTAGTGTGTTAGAGAGTCTTTCACGAATGCCAAATCACCCAAAACTTTACAATCACGTACAAGCCGACTATTTTATAACAATACGACCAACTCGACTGAACTTTTCGTTTCTTGCGGTCTGTAACACAATCGTTAAATGAATACATCCCCACAAACTCATGTACGTCATTGACACGAGGTTACAAGTTACATATAAGTACTATGTCACAAAGGGATGCCAAATGACGGAAGCGTCACGCACACCCGCATGGTTACAAAAAACAATGTTACATAAAAAGATACCGGAGACGCTCGTCTCTCTCGCTCGGACAACCCTATAACAAAACTATTAGCGAATGGTCATTGTTTGCATTAAACATGTAATTTCGATTATTTCCATGTCACATGTGACATACATCAATGAAATTGAGAGTTTGAACATAAGGGAAGTAATAGTACATGGATGTGAAGAAGGACAGTATAACGACGCCTCCGCGTCGAGGTGGAGTAGACAGTACTATACTTTCGTTACGGCAAATATTGAGTATACACTCGGACTAACCACGACTCAAAGATTGTAATTTGTGCGGGTCCAGACACCAGGTATGGTAGACTTCTATGTAAAATGAGTTAACCAGCTCAGTGACGGGTTTACGGCAACTCGTAGCGTTCGATCGTTTAGGACGTAATCGGAGTGTAGTTGTCCACCATCTGTTCTTGTTAGGTAATATGACTCGATTAAATGACTTATTTGGTGTTGAGCGTAGAGGACGAGAAAAAAAAGTGGGATTGAGTAAACTCCTGCGATAAAGAAACGACCGCAAAGTAACAACAAAAGACAGTTTAAGGTTAGTGACATCAACCATTTGGCGCCGCCATGGGGGACCAGTGGTAGACACTCGGATAAAATATCTTACACGTGGCGATGCAAGCAACAAGCGCCCAAGCGCGCGAACAGGTGGACCACCGTCCGACAAACCCAGGAAACAACGGATGCTATGCCGAGACGCCATTTTTGTATTATTATTTGCTTAAACTTGAACCCCCCCCTTGTGTTTGCCCGGTCTGTCCGTCTTGACAACAAGAGGAGAAAGGAGCGAGAACCAGAAAGACTAACACCTCAACACGAAGCGTACCACACACACAACCCCCCCCCCCGCCCTCCGCCCGGGGCGGGAAGTCCTTTGTCCCTCGCCTCCGCTCTTACGACGGTGTGCGTTCCGGGTCACCCTTTGACTTTGTACGTTTAACCTATTTTGATTGTAAATCCGGCAAAAACAACGATAAAATTATTTGTGTCCGTCGTGTACCCGAAAATTAAAACTCGAAACGTCAACGTAAACCACGTTGTGAATATCATATAAAACAATTCTGATTAGTTTATTTTTTTATTTTTATTTTTTTATTTTTTGGAACTTGGAGTCCGGTCCCGCGCCCCCGAGGCAACCGTCCCGCGCTCGGCGGGCGGTTCTGTTAACCACCCCTTTGTGGACATAATAATAAAATAGTGTAAATAGTAATTTAATTACTTTAATCTAAATTTTTTCGGCCTGGTTAGTCACGGTAACTGCGAAAGAACGATACGTTATATCTGTACAATACGAACGCAACGGGTTATCCTCAAATTTTGGCAACCCGAAGAGTCAGTCAGTGTTAGTATTTTACATATAAGTCGAAACATACGTTTATTTCTAGAGGAACATTAGAAAGTCATTGTACACACAAAGACTATAGATTAACATTTCTGTTCCGAGTACGCCGGCAACTACTGAGTTGGGGAACAATACCACAAGCCCAGACAGCGCCTGGGCAATATTAGAGAAAGATTTCTTTTAACCTATTAAATAAAAGAGATTGAGTGAACAATCTCGTCATGAAAAACCACTAGAACTATTCGTTCCGGTGGATTAACAGCTGCAGACATCAGTTTGCGCTGATACTCTTTCATGATGGTTAAGGGTGGCCGGGGCGCGACGGATTTCGGTGTCACTACCCGGTTGGACGAACTCTCTGCGGCAGCTCCCGTTGTCAAAAAATTGGCATGAATGATAATAGAATGGCATTGTATGGCCATGAAAGTGGCAATGTTCATGGGAAATTCAATATTCGTAACTAAGTCTGCCTTTCTCAATGGATTCAACAAAACAATAAAATGAACTCAAAAACGGATAACAGTAAAACTTATAACATTTCCGGGCCAATAAGAACCAACGTACACGTTGTACCAAACATACGACATAAAACTCGTTTGTGTAGCGGTTGTAGAAGAATTGTAGCCCTCCGTTCGTTGCTGAAGTTTGAACTCGATTTAAACTTCCTTTCTTTGCGCCGCCAATCTTGACAGACGAAATTCCGCAGATCACCGAGCTACCTTTTATGGTTCCCTTCGCTTCGTGCTTGTGTGGAGTTACCGCCCCGGAACCCCCGAGACGATACAGAGGCGGGAACGTTTTCTCTAGTGTACTACGAGGTTACCCTAAAGTGCGACGCTTTTATTCCTAAACTTAACTTAAAAGACCACTTCTTTGTCTATAGTTTTGGTAGGAAGTCCTGGTGACGGTGACATTGTGAGGGGTGTGTAACACATATAATCGTATGTCCACAAGCCCAGGTGGTTCTGGGTGCTTTGTGACCCGACTTATTGTTCTTTATACTTGTCGTGTGGTGTGTTGTCAATTCCCAGTTGAATTATACAAGTGATTTACAGAACATGTGTCAATATATTTATCTTCTTGACTTTACTTGTATAGGTTCTCGATGTCTTTTTTTTGTGATAAGGAAGGATTGAATCGAAGGAGCTTCTCGAAACTCCTTAAACTGCCGCCCCTCCCGAAGGAGACTCCGACGTGAGCGACCGCCAACTTCGGACAACAAGAGAGGAGGGAACAGAAGAGTCTTTGACATCGTTTCAGGCCTACCCCACACAACAACCTACACAGAAAGACACAGACAGGCAACACAACACAAAAGAGAACACCGGAGCGGAGTAGGAGGTGACACGCGGACCGAGACCTGCGGAGTCACCCACAACTCGGTGACGGGTCTTCGGTGTCCTCGTACACCGCTCAGGTAGTCG